AATTGCAAAAATTTTTGGGGAGGTTTAAAAGGGGTTAAAAATTGTCCGGGGAAGGGAAACCCCCGAAAAAAAAATTATTTTTTCGCCGGCTTTCTCCCGACACAAAGAAAATAAGCAAAAAAGCCGAACCCCCCCTAGCGGAGGGGAGCCCCCCCTTCTGGCGCCTCCCGGAACCCCCCCAGGGCCTTCCCCTTTTGTAATGTAAGACCTTGTTCCGGGGAAACCCCGGCGGGCTCCTCCCCGGTTTTAAAGGGGGGGGGGTCAAATGTTTTAAGGATTCGGGCAGCCCCGCTTTGGAGTAAAATCCCCCCCCCCCCCCCCCCCCCCCTCATTGGCACCGAACTACTGCTGTCCCTTCTTCCCTGTCTCAGACGGATGCCTCCGAGGAAACCCTGGGATTGAGCTGACAAGAACGCAAATAAAAGTAGAAAATAGAAAAAAGTCCCAGGTGGTGATATCGTGATATCGTGATATCGGGTTGTTGGGACACGCCCGGACAACCCGCGCCCCGAACACCGATCGCTTCGCGCTTCGGGGGGCAAGAAACCGATGATCCGTTCAGCTATTAGACAGCATTCCTGACGCGCTTCACCCTCTTCCTGAAAGGCCAGGGGGGTCGTCTTTCTTTTTATTACTTCGGACGCGCGAGAGTTGCGACTTTTCACGGCATTTCACTGCTTATGCGGCCAAACGCACACGGCAAGATCTTCCAGGACATGAGCAGGTACAGCCCCCCCCACCCCCACCCGTCTGTCCTCTTGAGGACGGGGCGTGGTGAATGGTCTCTAACGACTAAGGCATGCAAAACATGACTACACGACCCGCTGTTAATCAAAAGACGTGGGTTATCATTTACACCGTGGTTAGGTTATTCACCTCTGCCATGTCTTCCGCCAGCATCCTTGTCCCCATGGCCATCAGCCTCGCGGCGTCGTCTTTTCTCGCTTTCATGGCCTCCTCCGGAGTCTCGTGGGGTGCTACGGAGAAGTGGGGCGGGTTGAAAATGGTCCGGAAATAGGCCGTCTCGCACAAGCGAGACATGATCCATAGCTCCAGAGACACTTCCCTATTGTGTGCGGGGGAGGGGGGGGGGGGTACTCTTATGTTTTGCATAACTTAGCGGTCAGACCATTGACTACGCGTCTTCGAGAGGACGGGGGGGGGGAGGGCGGGGGTTAAAAGATGCGTTGCCCCCCCTCGGGGTCTGAAAGAATGCTTTGCGACGGGTCGGGTTTAGATAGTCGGGCGTGACGCTGCTTACGGCCAGTTCCAATGCGATGCAGGGGCCCAAGTTTGATATCCGGGGACCCCAAATAACGCTCCTTTTCGACCCAACCAAGGCCTATAGGGCACCGATTGACAATCTGTTCACTTCTGAGGAGGGAGAAAAATAGGGCAATCTTCGTCACAGCAGTTTGGTCGTGCTCCGATAACACATAGCGTTGCAACACAGGCATTTAAGCCCAAAATTCGTAGGAGATACCTCACCCCGACCCCGGGAGCTGTCGAGGAAAAGGAGGAACACAAAACCGATGATCGCACGCACCCACGCGGTTGTTTCAAAATCCGCAGGGGCAACAAGGCAAACGCCACACACACCTTCTGTGGGCCAGCTATCAATAACAGCAAGGGGCCGAGCCTATACGGCATGTGCGCCCCGTGGGTACAGCCACCCGTGCGCCATGCGTAGCCCAGCGAGTTGTTTATGGTTGCGTGGGTCCAACTGACCGCTAAAAAAACTGCCAGGAGCACAGGACCGCTCACACGATCTGAAGATCGCTCGCGCCCTTGGAGACGGACGGAGAGGACCCTTCGAGGGCGTGAGGGTCCTCTCCCTCTCCTTCTGTGAGTTCTCGGGATGGTTGCCCTGGATCCGTTCATCACAGGCTGCTCGCGTCGCGCTTTTATTTTCCAAGAAAAAAACGTGAAACTGAGGCAAGGCCGTCTTCCTGCCATTGTTGTTGCTGATAACTTCTCTCGCGTGAAAATTGAACGTCAACGGCTTTTTCTGTTGCTCGGGGGGAAAAAATAAAGCAGAACGCGTCTCACTCCGTGGGAAATTCGGCAGGGTTGACACGATGTGAGGGTGGCGGGCAAAGTTGTGAGCCTGCCGCATCTGTATTTGTCAAGATGCCATGTCTACGCTGCTGCTGATGCTCTCGGCGGTGTCATTTTTTGTTTTTTTGGAAAATATACATAAAGCACAGAAAGGCTACAACCCGGTGTGATTTGCTCATCGCCCAAGAGGTTTGTGCAATATTCTATTGCCTCCTCCCGGCATGTATGCGTGTGCCAATTTGCGTCCGCATCATCTCGGCATTTGCCCACGGCGGAAAGACGTATGCATACTGATTATGTTTGGTTCTTCGCCAGTGTGGCATCAAAGCGGAAAACAAACAGCAGGCCGCCTCCCCCGTGAGCACGTCCCGCCCGTTGCACTAGTGTGAATGGTGTGCACGTAGCTAAAGTCCAAAGAGTGAGCCGCCGGCGGCTCATTTCCCGTCCCATAATATGTAGTAGAAAATCATAGCATACAAGGGCGGTGGACGCGGGGGGCTACCGTTCCCCCTGTCCCCCGTTCGCCGTGCCTCTCTCCGCTGAGAGTGGAAGGTAATGTGAGGTGAAAGTGGTGAAACGCGTACCAGGTGGGACGTCCTTGGGTGGTCGTGAAGTGATCGACTAATTTTCCGCAGAAGTGGAGCCGTGAAGGCAGCTCTTGGAACACGATAAAACGGAAACGCCACAAGGTGAAATATTGGCCGGAACTATTCTTCGGCGCTACTCTTCGTACTCTAGACCGGAACACGGCGCAAGGTGTGCGGACGGGGGGGGCTACTGCCCCCCCCGTCCTCCGTTTGAGAGTGGATGTGCATACGTGCATACGAAACGGTAAATGTGAGGTAGCATTTGCAGGCTTCAAACGCATACGTACACACCAAGTGGGACGGTGGTTCGTTGGGGGTTGTGTACAGCAATAGAACGATGAATGCAGGTTCGAAGTCGGGAGAATCATCATGCATGCTCCTTAGTCTACACAAATTATTCTCAAAAAGTGCAATGAAGCTTGGCGCACCCATACATGTGTGTGAACCTGTCTGTGTGTGAGCGTGGCTTGTACCATAGCTACAGCAGTATAGCCGTGAGGCTACAGCAACCGCAGCATTAGAATAATGCTTCGCACGCACACACACCGTTCTGCAGATTGATGTGTTAACAGCCACGAATTTGGGGATTGTGTGGAGTATTCTTGGTCTTTTCTCTATGGCTGTAGGAATGTTCTTCGTGGATGGTGCATTACCCCGAGCGTGTTCTTTATGGATAGTGCACTAGCGCGAGTGTTTGTGGGCTGTGGGCAAGTACTAGCCTTAGCTCACTTGTGGTTGCAAGGTAGCAGTGTTCCACAGCAGTCCCAGCACACAAAGGTGTACCAAGCGCTTGGTGCCACTTCGTAATGAGTCCACAAGAGGTTGACATGTGTTGTGTTGCTAGACAGTTCCGAGATCCGAGTTCTGTGACAACTTCAAGTCCCCAAAAAAACACCGATAGAAAGTTCCGCCCAAACAAAAACGCGGTTTATTAACAGACCCGATCGGAGGGATCCGAGGTGCCGATGCAGGTGCGACCACGTGGTTTGGAGCGGTTCCGCCGGCGCGGGCAGCTCGCCCGGCGCTCGGTGCCCGGAGCCCTCGGCGGCGGCGTCTCGCTGAGAGAGAGGGCGCCCGCGGGCTCCGCGGAGAGGGAGGCCGAGCGGCGCCCCCTGCGGCGCGCGCGGCGACGTGACGCTATCGTGTCCATTTGAGAGTAGGCCCAATCCCGCCGCTTCACTCTCAGGCGTCGCTGTGAGGCCTGAGGGCCGAGCTTGAGCCTGCACTAAAGTTCCCTACCTCTACAAATACATCGAAGACGAGACTACACGTACACAGTCCCGTTCGAGATATTACCACAGCAGTCTTTTGCTGTGAGTGGGAAGTAAACCGGCTGGTACTGGGCATATTTTTTGACTTCACCAAATACTCCGGAGATTTTGTTTTTTTCTGCGTCTTCTTCCCACATTGTCTGACCTACAGCAGTACATCTGTATCATCATGAATTCGCGTTGCTACACTGCTGTAGTGGCGCCACGCTACAACTGCGTCTACCTCGCGCTGCTTGATTACACCGTGTCGGTACACTAATAGCTTGTGGGTACGTATGCGTAGCCGTCTGCGTTTTCAACTCTGCCCAACACTTTGCCCTTCAGTATCGTCCGACGGGAGTATGTGCTCTAGACTAGTACGCCGTTCGTGGTGCTTGCCGTGGCGATCGTGCTGACAAGTGTTTGTGTGTTCGGGGAGAGCGCTCCCGCTGATGCTTGGGCTACATATCGCGATGACAGAGCCTCAACAAAAGGACGACACACCGGGCCAGCATGTTGATACGCCTCGCACTTTTGGCGGCGTAGCCGACGGACGGAAACACAACGAGAGGCGTGACCAGGCAACTCTCCGTCCGAAAGAAAATGGGTAGGCTTTCTGTGTTTGTATCCATGTTTCCTAAGAAAACACGGGTTGCCCAGGAGTAACGCCGCAGCTGATGTGTTTGCCTCTGCAACCAACACACCAACACCCTGCTTGATTTTATGCGTACAACCTGAAACCAGGGGCATGTTGTGTCGTCTACATCATGTTCACCGTACAGCAGACAGAGCGTTGGCAATGCTATCTCATGTACCGCTGGAGCAGCGACTCGCTGGATAAAAAGGTTGCACGTGCGTGTGCCAACTTTATATAGGACACAAACCTCATTTTTAAGAAATCATAAAGAGCTTGAGCTCCCGCGGCGTGGCGAGACATATGTACAAGTAGTAGACTACCCATCCATCCATGTAGGTGTAGGGAAGTGGCGCCGCAGGGTACGCACGCACACACCTCGTTATCCATCCATAGGCACAGAAAACGCACGCCACAGAACAAGCGAAGATGGTCCTCTTGCTGAAGAACCCCCCCGACTTAGCAGGCCGCATGACGCCTCCCTCGTTGCTTCTGATCAACTACGATAGTCGGGGTGAGGTATGCCGGTATGCACCTCTCACGTTTGCACACGACAGACGACAGACGACGATGCAGGATGCGGCGGGATATGGAAGAGGTCTGATGTGTGTGACGTGTGTGTGACCACTTCGGGGGGTTCGTGTGTCGATTGGCAAAGAGAGGGTATGTGTCTTTTTTTTTTTTTTCGCAATATGACCCAACGACCCAACGAATCCATCTTTTTGACCTGCCAAATGGACGGCGAACACACAACCTTCATGTATGCATATGTTCAGATAATCGGAGGACGTCCTTGACCTGTGCGGAATATGCGAGACCTTAGCTCTCACAGCTACACACACACTCCTGAGTGGGTCTATGTAAAATTAATACCTTTGTCGGCAGAGTACTACTACTGGAGTTCTACACACACACCTTTTTTTCCGAATTAATTCCCTACAAGGTGACAGAAGATATCACACACCCTCGACGGATGCACAATCTCTCCACAGCAGAAAGAGTGGCGGCGCCAAAAACGGCGGCTTCGGAGCCGTCTTGTCTAGAGCATTCCGCAATCAATCGCATCGTTTCATGTTTTTTTGCATCCGCTTCGTGAAGTAATCGAGTTTTGAAAATTGGTCAAGGGGGTGTGGGGGTGATACCTTCTGTCACCGACCTATAGTATGTACGGTGGAAGCAGTTAAATTCCCGCAAGAAAAAATCGTTGGTTTGGCACCACCACCGTATAGTACATGACTCGTACCAGGTAAGATGCATGGTATTCCATCCAACTGCCCGCGTGGTGACCGGTTATCGTGTGGTACAATATTGCAAATCTGTTAACTCTTTGGAATAGATCGCAAACAAGTGTCCTTTGACAATAATGCCGCCTAAGAAGTACACTCATGTGAACATGACCGCCGCATACACTAGCAATAGTAAATACCTTGTTCAGCAATGAAATAACGCATTGTGACTAGCTAATTGTGATACAGGGTGTTTGTTGCAGCTCAAGGGCTTCACAGGGGCCACTCGAGGCAGCACGCAACCACATTGCAGCACGGCCAGCAATCCTACAAAAAACACAAAAAACACAAAAAACGCGCCCACCCCCGTGCGATCTCTCTCGGACGCCCATCATCCGGAAATATTGCGAAGTCATCCGTTACGTTCGTGGTTGTTAATTTCTATCGGTGATGCCATTCTCCGATCCTTACGGTAGTATTTGGTATGGTACGAGGTGTGATATCTACTTGTACCATGACAAGTCAGTCCGATTCACACCCACTGCAACTCGTGTTCACACAAAAAGGCGGTGTAAAACAACGCACGTCGCTTTCATGCCGCGACGGCACTCCACCCCACGCCATACACCCACGCTTCCAAGACCCTTGGCCTCATGAAAGCTCTGACGCTAGAGGAACCCCACACCCCGCATGGGTAACAAGAGGTACAACAAGGAAGACGCGCTTCATGGCGAAGGAGGGGACCAAACGATACCCCGCCTGCCTACCGCGGTACAGCCATTCCGGGCTTGGACAGGAAAATGATTCTATCCGACTCGGGGAGCAGGTAATAGTTTGGCGCAGCGATGCACTAAAGTAAATATCTCGCCGGCACTACTAGCAGCAGCAGACCACCACACTCTGTATGACTTACTACACGCCTAAAAGTAGACAGATCTTTGTCACAAGAACGACACCTCACTCGCCACACCCGACACTTGGCTGAAAAAAAGACTAATATATTACGGACTACAGCTTTCAATATTTTCCCGTCACATCGATAGGTACACAGTTGCACCACTGCCATCAAAGGTAGTAACACCACAGAAGAACCGGTTTCATACGCTTCGGCGTCCTCTACGAGCGCCTTCGCAACATGAGCAAAAGAAAAAAACATACGCCCAACGTTTGTCACCCCAATCAGGTCTAATTTCTTCGCGACTCATCATCTGTCAGAAAATAGGGCCGCCGTTGTTAAGTCGCCCGTCCGTCCGGCGGCAAAACCAAAACGACAAAAAACAACAACAACACTGAGTCACGGTGTGTGTCGACGAGTACACGTCGCAGGAAAGACGGGATCAACCGGTGCATCTCTGAAAAGAGACAAAAAAAAGGCCTTGAAAACACGAAGAAACGAGGGCGTAACCCACAACCCACCCCACCAAATACGTAGCAGCGAGGAGGTCAAGCCGCGATGACGACCACAACATGTATGTGTGTCTATACAACGAAGATATGACATTCTCGACGCAACCCTATCGAGTAATTATTCCTGAGCGAGTGCTGTTTTTAGGATGGGATGTACATCGCTCTCACCCATTTCGCATGCTAGCGAAAAAAAAAAAAAAAATCCACCACACAACTCTGCGTCGTGCGTGCCGATGGACTCCGCCATCACCATTTTAAGGCGACGGTATTTGGCAATGCGCTCGACTGTCGCACATAGAAAACTGGATCACCCCCCGGCTTTGTGCTAACAAGAAGGGGTTGTGGCAGTACGTGTTATCAAACGGCCGACAGCTCGCTTTCCAGCATCTAAAAGTAAGAAATACTTCTTCTTAGTTACAGCACACAAAGGTCAGTTGAACGGTGACCTGAGTCTCTCGAGCCAACAAATTTGATAAGCCCATCGCTTGAGATTTGACCAAACCCTTTCCCCACGGGTTTTGATGGCACAGCCTGCCCACTCTCAACGACGACAAACAAGCGTTGCACAAACTTCATGATTACTAAAAAAAAAAAAAACAAGAAAAAACTAACAGCCAATTCCTACAAAACAAGAGTACAAACAAAAAATACTGGCTTCTCTCGAAAATATGTTGGCTTTTCTCATTCGAAAAGCTAAAAGTTGAGCTATCCAATAAAACCGGCCGTTCGAGAAACGGCAGCCAGTCCCTCAACACCCGACGACGCCCCCACACCTCTAATCCCTTTGCTTCGTCACTATCGCCCCCCGTTCACCGATGCGCTGCCACCGCTGCCGCTGGCCGGCGCACCAGACGCCGCCAACACGGAGGAGGCCGCGAGGACGGGGGCCCCGTCGTTGGCGATCGCGGCACCCCCCCCCCCGGGGGCGGCCGGGGGGTTCTTTCTGGGGCTCGCTATCCGTTCGGCAGCGGCAGCGGCGGGAGCGGGTAACGCTTCTGCGGTTGAAATGGGGTCATCTCGGTCGAGCGATCTGACGAAAGGGCTAAACCTCCCGAAATACTCCCTGAGAAGGGCCACACACGATGAAAGCAAAAGTCGTGGGTGGCGCGAGCCAAAGGGGGGGTAAGGGGGGGGGGGGGGGGGTCCTAAAAAGGGCGCCCTTTGGAAATTTTGGACTTCGGATGGGGGACCTGGGGGGGGCAAGGGGGTAAATTCGTTTTCCCCCCCCTGGGGAAAGCCCCCCCCCCCGGCCTCCAAAAAA